TTAAATATTCTTCAGTGAAAAAGTAAACACAGTAGAGGGAACATGAAGTTAGCATGTTAAAGCTACAACCCTTTGTCATTGTATCCATGGCAAAGTGTACAGGCTTTGGAATTATGCTTCAAATATTTAACCTTTCTGTGCTACTTTGTAATAGGAGAATAAAACCCAGAGTTGTTAGGAGAGGTAACAGGTTAATACTCATAAAATGATTTGTATAGTAAACTCTTAGTAACTACTTGATATTATTAAATCTACTTCTATATGATATAATACTTTAATTTGTTTCTTAGCATTTTAGAGCAATTTTTCATTATATTATGATGAAAACTCCAACTTTGAATGCTTTAGTTGGAGAAGAATGATGAAAAAGTGCTGTCTTACAGAAAAACAAAATAAGTATGAAAAACCCAGCCTTCTGTTCTTTAGTTTTCAGTACTCACATACTGCTTTCTAATACATTTATTAGAGATTATAGATTAGAGAACTAGCAATGTAAGAAAATATGTTCACAGGTTTTACTAAAATGTATAATATATCATTGTATACAGACCATAAAAATATAAAATCTAACTTCAAAATATTTTCTTGCTAAGTGAATTTTAACTGTGGTTAAGAGGCTTTCAAATTCAAATTTAGTAAACCCTAGTCTCTAGCGGTCAGGTAATTCAGCTTTTATTTTTTGTATACACTTGTGTAACTGTGATGTGTTGACTATACATATCAGTATGCATATTTTCAAAATGTAAATAAATCCATTTACTATTTATTCAAAATAGAAAAAAAATGCCAACGTTGGAAATATAAAAATCTACTATAGATTTTATACTAAAATCTTAATTTTAATATAAAATCTACTAATTTCTTATTTTTATTTTAGATACTTGTTAATGTAATGTTTCTACTATCATCTTAGACTGATAGACTGTTGTCATTAATACATTAAAATTCTCATATTTTTAAAAGAAACTTACTTCATCATAAAGCATAACATGAACCACTTCTTTCCTCATTAGAATGTTCAGGAGTTGGCATCTAACATTACATATTTTTCTATACTTCTGGTTACCTATTGTGGAGCTCTTTACAAAGGTTGTCTCCTTTCAGAATTCATGATTAATCTTTCGAGGACACAGGCTTCATGAAGCGGCCTCATAAATGAATAACATAATGATAGTGACTCAAGCACACTTTGGCATAGTCTGAAAAGGCAGTCTTCCAGCAAAGCAATTAATGTCAGAACTAATTTAGTTCTCAGAGAATTTTATTAATGATTAGAATGTTTATTCATTTAAAAAACTCTGTCACTCTATAGCATGAACTGAAATTGTGAATTAAGAAGTGAGCAACAGGTATCCTTCCTTTTCATGAAAGTAGAAATCTAGGGTCCAGACTGAATTGCGGTGTAGGGAACCTGGGCCATGTAAGACCACTGCCTCGAGTGAGAATAGAATACACTAAACCTGAAAATGAACCATCAACAGTTAATAAATACTGAGCACCTACCACCTACCAAGCACACCACCATATGTTTTAACAGTTTTCCTCAAGTAAAATATTTTCTTTTAGTGGCTAAATGGTTGTAAAATATGTCATGGTAGTTAAAAGACAGAAGGCAATATCTGTTTAATTTTTTCATACAAATCAATATTTTACAATACACATTGAAAGCAATTTTTATCATCAGTAAGAGCAAATTCTTATAACTCAGAGTCCAAATATTCATGCTTTTAATTTCTTTGTGATTAATGATGACAGAAACCTCTGATGTGTGGTACGTGTATCTTTCCAGCATTCAAATCAAGATGTGGATGCTTCAAGTCAGAAGATTACAAGGAATATTAATATAAGGCCTTTTTGAAATTCAACACAGTGCCATAAAATGTGTAGTATTACAAGAAATGAAGTAACTAGACAGATGAAAGATTTATAAATACTGAAAAAGCAACAGTACTTCTGAATTTTTTTCAGTATATTAATGACTAAAATGTTGGGAACTGTGATGCACATTAACCACAGACAAATGGACAGAGCTTGATAGATTAAAAAAGTATTTTAAAACTTCTGTATGAAGCACCAGTTCTTATTACATATAAAACTACATATTTTGTTTTAGTTACGCATATTATGTGGTAATACTATTAAAAAAGAGGAAAACTTAAATATATCAACCCAACAAACACTAAAATCAACAGAAGATTTTAGTTTTAAACATTGTATAAAATCTACAGAAACCCAGTAATTTTCCCACCATTGAACTAATTATTTATTGGGTTAAAATGACCAATATTAACTAATGTTTGGAGGAAAAGGATGGTGTGGATAATAATAATAATCAGAATATCATCAAACCTCAAGGTGCTTTGAATGGGGTCCATGTCATTGCTTGCAGACAACTATATCCGCCAGCTTACAGAGCAATTTAAATGTTAAACCTAATTTAACATTTAAAGAATATTACATTTGCACATAAAGCTTTGTTATCCTAAAATGAAAAGTAACAAACCACAACTCCTTATGGAGTATTTCTCACAGAATCTTATCCTAGAAAAAAAAAGATCTTTAAACTTTCTCAAAAAATATATTTACTTGATAGAAATTTGATTTTTCAAATTATTATTTCCTTATCTGGCAAGTTTCAATTCTAATAGACATTTTCAAATTTTCAGAAATATTATGACTTATCCCAGAGAATACTATGAACATATCTGAAATGTTATTTACACTTTATGCAAATAATAGCTAACAGAAAATATTTATTTCTTTGTGCCGGTACTGGTCTAGATACTTTTTACAGTCTCAATTTTAATGGCTATTATAATATTCATAAACTACCTTATAAAATAAGTACATTATTCTCTCTTTACAGATGAGTAAACGGAGACACAGAGAGTGCTAAACTATGTTGCCTGAGACAATTGTAGTGTTTCAAAGACATAACTCATAAGCAGAGCTTATACCCTTAAACTCTTAGAAGCTATATTATAATGGTGACTCTATAATGCAGGATTCTTGTAAAAGTAAATTTATCATTCTGTCTGTTAGTGTCATCATGCAAGAAAATAGGATAAAATTAATACTTAATCATTAAGCATACACTTAAATAACACATGCTATTCCTTGTTCTAAATACTTTAGATATATTAATTCTTTTAATGCCAAGAGATTTTAATCATAGAACTTCAGGCCTGGAATGTATGGCACTCTTACTTTATGAGAACTCTATAGCTAAAAGAAAACAAGCAACATCCAGAAAAATGTTAACTTAGATATTGGAGGACTACTAACATTTTTATATTACTTATTTTACTATGGATATAGCCTATATCTTTTGTCAATAATACATCAATTTATTAGTTACATAAAAGGGTGTGTAATTGCTACATCAGCAAAGAGAAAATGGAAAATATGAAAGGTAAATTTTCCAAAGGTCATGAATATAATTTTTAAATAGGACCAATGCCTGAAGTCCATGTATTCATAACCATATCTTAAGGATTTCTGCAGAGTATTATTAAATACTTACATACATTTGTAGACATTTTTGTTTCACAGTCATTTTTAAGAACTTGTTGTGTGCCCAAAACTATGCTAGGCAATTTTAACACGGTCCTTGGCTTATATATGGAACCATCTGAAGTCATGCTGGTCCTGTGTGTTTTTTTTTTTTTTCTATTTAGCATTTGTCTTGGACAAGAGTGCCCTAATTTGGATGATAAATTATGTTGCCACCCTACCAAAACATTCTTGGTTTTAATCATGATAAAGACAAGGAATTACATAATTGACTTTCTCAAATATTAGTTGGAAGAAGATACAAGATGCTGAGGTCGTGGGGAAGAACAATTAACTTTATCCAAGGAGTTACTTTGGAGATCTACAGCAGGAATAGAGGCTTACAAATGGAATTGGAATCCATCAGGTGGATAAGGTGATGACAGACACGAGGAAGTAATGTAGAGAGAAGCAAATAAATTAGTTCAGATAGCAGACAGCAGAGATAGAGTAAAATGAGAGTGCTATGAGTCAAATTGAATTTTTCAGTCAGTGCCTTCTCTGCTTTAAGCTAATTTCTACAGGCTAAAGATACAATGATGAAATTGAGAGAACTTCTTCTGTCTGCTAGTGTCGTAATGCATGCAAATTCAAAAGCACTGAAAGGAGTCTGAATGTAAAATATGAATAAACTAGAACAGGACACCTGGAGTTTTCTTAAGTTTTAATTTCTATTAAAAATATTTTGCCATGTTAATTCATCCATGTCTAGAGGAATACCTGGAGCATTGAGGAAAAAAAGTAGGAGAGGCATTTCTTCCTTATCATTTATAATTTTTATTTCTGATTCAGAAGCCTTTACTACTTAATAATAAACAGCTAATAAAGCAGCAAACTACAGCAGACATGACTCTAAACAAGAAGGAATATAAAAACCAAATAGCAGAGCTGCAAATCAAAATAATTAAATATAAGAAATCATCTAGAGGGACTTTCCAAAGCCCATAAAAAGGGAAAATCTGCTCATAGCTAGAAAAGGCAGGCAGAGTTATAAATAAGAACAGGCAGAAGCCAAACTATTGAGTATACTGCAAGTAAATAAAAGGCCAAAATTAAAAAGAAAAAGTCACTTTATAATAAAAATGTAGAAAATTTGGCTAAATGGAACAATGAATGCTCCATTAAAAAGAAATATTATTAAGTACTTTATATAGAGATGATCATTTTCACAATCTTGCCAACCTTCTGTAGTCTTACTAATCAGTAAGTCCCCTTCAGTTTCTACAAATATTCTCCTCCCTTTTTTAAAATGATTTACGAGGCCATGTTCTTTAATCCATTGTATTCTATCTTTACTGAGTTAGGTCTCAACATTCAGGCAGGAGTCAAGATCACAACAGGGTGACTGGAATAACTCCCCCTCTCCCTACACTTAATTTGACTATTTCTCCTAAATTAAGAACTACCAAGAGGCATTTACATAAAAGTATATTTTTCCTTATTTTCAGAACCATCTTCTGCTCAATATATGGGTCTCAGACTGGGTACCAGGATATACAGGAACTCCAATTATTAAAAGGACCAACTGATCCTGTAGAAAGGTACTGTTTCAGCTTATTTTCTGAGACACATGGCTAACAGTATCTTCACTAGAACATAGTAGAGTTGCATAATTGTCTGATTCACAAAGTGCTAGAAAAACTCACGTCACAAGGATGATTTCCTGCATTATATGAGTAAAATTCAACTACTGAACGGCATATATTTCTGTCCATCTTACTTTCATTGTCCCAAGAGGGGAAATTGACTCTCATCTGGTCTCCTGGGTCTGATTTCATTTCTCCTCAAACCATTCTCCACAAAGCAGCAGCTAAAGCTGTTTTTTAACGCAATCTGATTATGGCACTTACATGATTAAAAGTTTTATGAGTTCATTATTTTCTATACCATAAAGTCTAAATACCTTACATGTATTCTCAGACTTTCGCCACCTACTTTCTCTGAGGCATCTTTCCTGGTTTCCCAGGCAAAATGTATTGCACCCAAGACTGTATTCTTCATATAATGTATATTACTTGGTTTTACAATTTTTTTTTACAAACAAACATGAGCCCAGAAGTAGATGGACACAGTGTGATTGCAAGAACAACAAACCCACTGACAAGAGCAGGGTTAGCAAAAGAGTAGGAGGCAGAATTGATACACAAAATAGAACAAAAGTATAGGGGAAGAGGTAGTAGAAGCAGATTATACTGAAAAGTGTAGGTCGAGGGGTGATATACTAAATTTATGTGTATGTAAAATCTCATAATGAGTACGTGTGATAGATTCACAGGCAAACCAGTTTGGAAGTATCCCATTAATCCAGGCATGTTATAATAACCTGGATTGAGATTTGGAAGTGTGAATGTAATAGAGTGATTGATGAGGGTGTTCTGATTATTTGTTTGTTTTCAGAAATAATAAATCTTAGTAACTATCTTGACAAAAGGAAGTAAGAAGAAAGATGAATAAAAGCCATGGTAAATTTCTGAGGCTGAGTAAACAAAAAGAGTGGTAATGACAGGCATATAGACAAGGGCACTGGGAAGTGAGTTTATTTCAAGTCTGGGTATAGATGGAGTGAAGAGTAAGGAAAACCAATTAAGTTTTCAAACTTCCATATTGGGTATAGTTAGAGTGAATGATAAAGTAAATCAAAAACCAGACTCACTTTAATTAGATGCTTACATTCTCTATTTTGATTTGTGGCAGTTTTCTACCATCTCTGTTCTCTATGAAGATCATCAATCAGTATTTTTTGTATAAATAGCTATTGTTAGTATTTTTAAAAATTATGTACTGCTGTATGTGATTTACATATTTTAACTTGTCAAATGCTCACAATACCCTATAAGAGAGTTAATAAATTATTATTATATAATTTTATAGATAAGAATAGGGAAGTACAGAGAATCAAATAGCTTAGCCAAGGTAACAAAGCTAGTAAGTCCTGGAGACAATTTTTGAACCCAAGAATCTTCTCCACTTATCTACTGGTATATAGGTTGATTATACCAAATAGTTTAGTATAAACAAGTCACATCTATTCTACCTCTTTTAGCTCCTACATACTCGTGTTTTAAAATTTTACTTTAAGTTCTAGGATACATGTGCGGAACATGCAGGTTTGTTACATAGGTACACATGTGCCATGGTGGTGTGCTGCACCTATCAACCTGTCATCTAGGTTTTAAGCTCGGCATGAGTTAGGTATTTGTTCGAATGACCTCCCTTTTTCTCCCTTCTCCTCCCTTTCACTGACAGGCCCCAGTGTGTGATGTTTCCCTCCCTGTATCCATGTTTTCTCATTGTTCACCTCCCACTTATGAAAGAGAACATGCGATGTGTTACTTTGCTGAGGCTGATGGTTTTCAGCTTCATCCATGTCCCTGCAAATGACATGAACTCATCCTTTTTTAATGACTTCCTAGTATTTTATGGTGTATATGTGCCACATTTTCTTTATCCAGTCTGTGGCTGACAGCATTTGGGTTGGTTCCAAGTCTTTGCTATTTTGAATAGTGCTGCAATAAACGTATGTGTACATGTGGCTTTATAGTAGAATCATTATCTGCTCTCCAAGCACAGAGACTGTGTCATACTATTTCATGTCTCTTAGCTTTTCATATAATAATTCAACTGAACAGAAAATTCCCATGGCTAACTAGAAAACTACTAATCAGCTTTTATGCTTGTAAAGCATACTGTGGTTGTCAACAACTGTCTGGGCCTGATTTTGTTTTTATTTGTTTTAAATCTAGACATTTGGAGACTTGCTGCTATGGCATGCCTGTGCAATTGAGTGTACTCAAGAAATTCAGGACTGAGACTTTTGCACCGTTTTAGTGTCCTGGCTTAATTGTTTATTTTGGTCAAGCCCAAATGATCTGCTCATAAACCATCTCTGATTTGTCTTCTTTGAGGCTTCTTTATTCTTCCTACTTAAAGCTCTTAGTACTACCTGCAAATCCACCTGGCCTCAGAGAGCTTTAAAGTTCCTTAGTTGCATCTCCCTTATCAAAATGTTTATGTCTCTGATTTTCAGAACTGTACTTTTGCTACATAAGTTATGTTAATAAGATAAACAAATCCTGCTCCTGAGTAAATGAGATATGGTGCTATTTCTTGTCGTTTGATCATCTGCTTAGCACATCAACAATGCCATTCTCATTGAAGACACCTTTGGAAAGTTATTATGCTACAAGAAATAGTCATTTTGGTCTACTGCAAAGTAACTTTTGTTGTGGACATTACTACAAGTAGACAACACTCTACTTTTTGATAAAAAGGGCTTAAAAATCAAGTGAATGAAATAAATTATATGGAGTAAAATTAGTTATGATGAAAACAAATGGAATAAAATGACAAAAACAAGTAAATAGAACTGTTAGCTAAATATAATCTTTTTTTCAGATTTCCTCTCCTGCCCCAGAATATCCTGTATACAGATATAGTTTTGAGTTTTCCTAATTTTTACCTAATTACAAATTAAAATAAATTAGCCAAAATTGTAGCAAATGTATTTAGTTGCCTTTATTAGTCAAAAGGTGAGTCAGTTTTTTACTATCTTCAAGTTTTTAAATAAATATTTACAGTACATGAAGATACATGTGAACTAACAACATTCAACTGTTTCCTTTGAAGCTTGTATACGAAGATAAATTAGCCAGAATATAAAACAACATTTGAACTTGAATCTCTAGTGGCCTCAGACACAGGTTGCCCCAAAACTGAAGCTTGATCTTGATTTAGGCAGCTCTGTGGTCCCTACAGTGAGCTGATAGCTAAGGGCTTTATGCAGCAGCTTTTGCAGCAGCTGTGAGAGTTCGAATTTCTTTCCTAACGGGGAATTTAGGAACCACAAAATGACCACCACACTAATTCTTTCAAAATTATAAATGGCAAAATCTACTAAAGTTTCACGTAATAATCTATTCAAAGTTACATATATTTCAATATTTTTTATTTTAAAATGATATGTTTCCATAACATATAATCATAGTTTTTCAATATTTCTGAATATTCAAAATATTTGGATAAAATATTAAAATAACTGCATTTACATTTGTAAATTTTATTAATTTTGAAGGACCATAATTTTCCTGCTTTATGATACATACCTGTTTGTTCTTAGACAAGCTTCTAGGAACAACAATTTTATGTCTGCTCCAGGTTCAAAATCTCCATAATATAAATATAAAGCCTCTTTTAGACTGACATTTAGTCATTTCTAAATATTTGCAGATTTAAGGACAGGCTCAGAATTTCTAATGGAATAATTTTATTTATTCTTGTTAATCAAATTTCTTGATTTTAAAAGGCTACATCACACATTCAAATAATGTACATTTCTGAGAAAAAGAATTGTGTAGGTTTGGCAAAATAATTCTGTGTCAATTAAATACCAATGGTATTTAAAATATCTTCAATATGTATATCAGAAGGACATTGTGTTATTAAGTTAATTATATTGATTAAACCTGGTTTATTATGCTTCACCAAGCATTTCCTCCTCGCAATGAATTAGTAAAAGATGCATAAACATTTTAAATCGAGATTCAGAGTGTGGTAAATTGTTACCACAGAGCCTAAATGGATTATTTTATGTTCTCAGAGCATCCATCAGGAAGAAAACTGTTCTAGAAAACCAATGTGATTGTGTCAAGAAGATGGGACTAAATTGACCATGGCAAGGTTTAGTCAGTGTTTTTGGCTGTTGTCATTATTGATTGCATAACATTGATTATGTTAACTGCAGAGCTCCAATTTACTTATTAAGTTTGCTAAAATAACAGATTGACTTTGGCACAATTTCTTTTTATTTGAGTTGTTTAGGTACATTCTACTTGCCATCATTTTGGAAGAATTTTTTAAAAGAACTCTAGAATTCCTCTTCCTCATCTTAAAATCTAGGTTTTTTAACTTTTTATTTACTAATTTAATTGCTCAGCAATTTAGAAAAACCCAGTCATTGGCATCCTAAGATTAAGTACCTTATTTCCTAAGAAGAGAAGGAATAGCACAGGGTATTGTGTGTTTTCTATAAATAATATTCAATGTAAGTGAAACAGAAAAGCAAATGTCTATTCCATTTACCTTGTGGTATTTTGAGCTGTTAAATACCAAAATAAGTAATGATATCTAAAAATATGGAAAAATAACAAATCATTAGGGTAGATTCAACATAAAAAGCATAAACAAAAATTGTTATGGTTTCTTTCTGTGATGCAGTTCCATATTTTATACTATTTTAAATATATATGATACATACACACATATATGTATGTATTTATCTTAGATAATTAAAAATAAAACAAGGTTTTGAGAAAATCCTTATAAAAAAGATTAACATGTTAATCAGGGAAAATGAATACCTATTAACTGAAGATGCCATTTTGGGAAGGAAGGAATAGGCCTTGATTTAGGGTTTCTTGCTTCAAGGTGCTACTCAGAGATACCCAAACTTTGGATAAAAGAAGTTTGGACAAATTTTAAGGAAGTAAAACCAGATAAACATCATTAGTCACTAATGAGAAGATTGTGAGGATAAATG